TATCATTTTAAAAAATTTTTTTTTTTTTTTTATTAATATTTTTTGTATAATTCAATTGTTATTTGTTACAAATATATATATGTATATATATATATATATATTTTTTTTTTTATACAGAAAATGGAGTCAAAGAATAAGAAAAATAAAAATACAGAGATTTAACATTATGTTTTTTAACTTATTTTATTTTTCTTTAATTAGTGCATTTGGTTTTGTTGCTTTAAGAAATCAAACATATTTTCCGTCAGAATTAGGAGGAAAAGGGAAATTAAGTGATTATTTTGTAGGTTTGAATTAAAAAAAAAAAAAATAAGAATTTTATAATTAAAAAAAAAAAAGATAATTTCTAATATATTTCTTTCATTTTTCTTTTCTTCAGTGAATGTTATTTTATACTTTCCTTTTTTTTTTAGATTATCCTAATCAAAAAACATCAAATTTAATTCATTTATACTATTTTTTAAATGGTGGTTACTTATTGACTTCTGTTTATTCTATATTGATTTCAGAAAAATTACCAGATTTTTATGAAAACCTTTTACAACATTTATGTGCTATCATACTAGTATATTTTTCATATAGCCAAAATTTTATAAGGGTTGGAGCAATTATTATGTTATGTCATGATATATGTGAAATTTTTTCTTCAGCGTATGGAAAAAAAAAAAAAAAAAAAAAATCATTAATAATAACAATTTTAATTTAAATAATGATAATAATATTAAGGAATATTATATATGACATAATAATAAATTAAAATTTTACATTTACATATTTATTATATACAATTTTTTTTTTTTTTTTTTTTTTTTTTTCAGTTGCCGTGTTTTTGTTGATACAAGATATAAATTTATTACTGTCACTTCTTTTTGTATTTTATTCACAAGTTGGGGTTTTTTAAGATTATATATTTTTGCCAAAAGATGTATTTTGGCTATTCATAGAAATTTTCATATTTTTAGTTCATTACTAAATGTAGAAACACGCATTTGGTTAATTTTTCTTTTACTAGTAATTTTGTTAATGAACGCTTATTGGTTCGTCTTAATGGCTAAAATGTTTATTCATTTTATTACTAGTGGACAAACAGAAGATATCTTAACAAGAGTTACAGAAATAGAAGAAAAAGAAAAAAAGATAAAATAAAATAATAATTTATTTTAAAAAGAAAATAAAAAAAAAATCATTGAAGCAAGAAATTATTTTTTTGTTTATTAAAATAAATTTTTTTTTTTTTTTTTTTTTTAATAGTAATAAAAAATATATTTAAAAAACTTATATAATTAAAAAACCTTTTTTTTTTTTTTTTAATTTAAAAATTTAGGCAATTAAAAATAAAATAATGAATTTGAATGTAATTTTTTTTTAAAAAAAAGTAAATAAATAAGTAAAATCTTATGATTTTCATTAATGAAAAAATATATATAACAATCATTCAAGTTGTTCACATGAATATTTATTTTTTGATAAAATAGACAATAGATTTTTATGTACTTATATTTAGAAGGATAAATAATAGAAGGTTTAATATTCCTTTTCACACTTTTAAAAAAATTAAATAAATATAGATATAGATATTTTAATTTTATATAATATATATATATATATGATCATCTGTATTTTGGGATGGAAATTTTTTTTTTTTTAAATATCAATATATATACACATTGTCTATTTTAAATTAAGGTTTAATTCAATTTTATGAAATAATTCAAAATATAATATTTTAAGTTATATATTTTTTATATATATTTTCATGTTGTTTCTTTAACAAATTAAAATATTGCGATTTCTTCAAAAAAAAAAAAAAAAAAAAATGTACGGTAAACAATATAATTATGCAAAAAAAAAAATATGAAACATTTATTAAAAAATTAATAATGGAAAAACAAAGACAAGATCTTAAAAAGGAATTAAAATATAAAAACTAAAAAAAATACTAAAAAATTTTATAAATATTTACTTTTGTTTTGGCATTGGTGGTTTTATTTTAAATAATGCCTTTTTTAACGAAAATACTTTTTTTGAAACATTTGTATTTTCTTTTGAATTATTTGCATTTTCTTTTGATACATTTGTATTTTCTTTTGTGTTATTTGTATTTTCTTTTGAAATAGTTGCATTTTCTTTTGAATTATTTGTATTTTCCTTTGAAATATTTGTATTTTCCTTTGAAATATTTGTATTTTCCTTTAAAACACTTGTATTTTTTTTTAAAATATTTGTATTTTTTTTTAAAATATTTGTATTTTTCTTCAAAACATTTGTATTTTCTTTTGAAATAGTTGCATTTTCTTTTGAAATAGTTGCATTTTCTTTTGAAATATTTGTATTTTCTTTTGAAATATTTGTATTTTCTTTTGAAATATTTGTATTTTTTTCTAAAATATTTGTATTTTCTTTTGAATTTGTTTTGTTTTGTTCATTTTTTACTTTTTGTTCTAACTCAAACTCATTTGAAGAATATTTACTATTTTCATCTAAGTGGATAAACTTTTTATAAATGGAAGTTAAAATAGATCTATCCGGCTGCAGAATTGATAAAATCATATTAACTAGAGAAGTTATAAGTGACCATGCTTGAAATACAACATTTTTTTGTTTTTCACTAAATGATGAAATTCTTAAATCTGAAACACTTAAAATTTCAACTCTTTTTTCAGATAATTTTTTCCAAATTGCTTTTAACAATTCATAAGGATTATATCCGTTTGAATTCTTCACTTCATATAAATATATAGGACAATGTGCCATTAAGTATTTTAAAATAATTATTGCTTTTTTTATTCTATGTAATAATTTAAAAGGAAGAAGAAAAAAATCATGCGATAATTGTTCTATTATAGGAATATGTTCTGTAAGAAAATTTATATTTAAATATGTTGGACCTTGTGTATAATATTTAGAAGAATTTAATTCATTAAAACCCTGTATAGCAAGAGAAGAAATATCATCTTTACATGACTTGTTTTTATAATAAATTGTGTGCGTTCTTAATAATCCATATACTAAGCAATGTAATATTGTAACATTGTGATTATTTTTTATAATTATTTTTGCACCATTTTCAACCAAAGTTTTAATTACTTCATAATGTAAACCATAAGTAGCTAACATTAGAGAAGTTTCACCATGAGATGTTATAGAATTTACATCACTTTTATATTTAATTAAAGTTTTAACTATTTCGTTGTGTCCATTAAAAGAAGCTATATGCAAAGGTGTACTTCCTTCATCATTTAACAACATTACAGATAACCCACTTATTATTAACTGTTTAGCTAGTTCTCTTTTTCCTCTTGCACATGCATAATGCAAGGAATTATTTAAACCTAATAATTTATGTGAAACAGACTTTGTTAATAATTTTTGAGCAAAGTAATTATTAACTTTATTATTTAATATATCTTCTGAATTTCTTGAATCAAAACTACTATTATAAGTATCTTTATCAGAATCAGAATAATTCTTATCATCATTTAAATTGGTATCAATTAATTTTTTACTAATAATATTATTATCAATTGAATCTTTGTCAGTTATGTTAATATCATCTAAATTTACATATCTTGAATCATCAATGAATGAACTGTTATCTAAATTGACATTATTTAATTGATTACTACTGAAATTTTCATTTTTATTTATAATTTCATGGTTCATCATTTTCTCATTTTCACTGTTTTCTGATGATGTTTTCATAGAATTTCCTGTTTTTCTTAAGGTTTTCATAAGGTGGCTATGCTTATTATCAATATGACTATTTTCTTTAAAAACTGATTGATTTTCAGAAAAGTTCGTTCTTTTTTTCATATCCATTTGCTGCTTATATTTTTTTTTTTTTTTTAACTGTAATTCATCTAAATGTCTTAAAAACATTATTAGAATAGTTGCTTGATTAGTATCTAATTCTTTACTTTTTTCACCATATATAAATTCTTCATCCAACACTATGTCAAAATGAAATGTTTTCTCCATATAATTTTTTTGATTATAAGAATCCATATAATTGTCTCCATTTTTTAATAACAATGTTGTTTTTTTTGTTGAAAAAATATTAAGAGAATTATAATAATCCTTTTCAAAATTATCGAAATTGACATTCTGAAATTCTATTTCTTTTAGAAGAGTGTAATAATAATTCGAATGATAACTTATTTGTTCATCTGGCAAAAAAGAGCTAGCCATATATAAAAGAACATTCATATTTAGTTCATTTTTAAAAAAGATAGAATAATTTAATTTTAATAATGCTTTAACTAAGTTTACATTACCACAGCTAGCGGCTAAACATAATGCAGTTAGCCCATTTCCGAAATATTGAATTTTTCTAAAACTTTTGAAAATATTCATATAATATTTATTTTTTTCTAAATCTAAGTCAAAACACTGAGAAGCCATATAAATGGGATAAAAATAATCTTCGTCAACTACTTTTTTTATATTCTTAAATGGATCATTTTTTTTTTGCGTCACTTTATAATAAAAATCACAGAACTCTTCCTTTCTATTTATGTGAAATTCTATATCTTTGTAAGGCGTAAAAATATTCAATGAAACCGCAAAATTTCTGAGCCGTTGCATTAATACAACAGTTAGTGTAGAATTATAGCCTGTAATTACACATGAATTCCATATAGCGGTATACAAAGGATCTATAACATATGTAGATGAAATACCTGAGCCTTTATTGTATAATTTATATAAATTAGAACAGCTGTAAGTATATTCAGAGAGATGTAAATATAGGTGTACTTTTTCTAATGAACAAACCGGAAGAACTTCTTCTGCTGCTATGATTGCTTTTCTTAAATAAATTAAAGAATCAAACAATTGTTTATTAGGTTCATATCTTAGTAATCCTGCTAATAAAACATTAGTATTAAATATAATATAGTGATTTGGATGTAATAAATAACAAAATTCTTTGTATAAAAGTAAAAGTTGCTTTCTTGCAAGAATTATATTTCCGTTTATGTAATTTTTTTCTGCTTCATTATATAATAAATAAGCTCTATTTTCTAATTTTATGCATCTTTTATTCCCTGAAAAAGATAGTTTACCACAATTAGAACATAACCACCTTTCAATTTCTTTCTCTAATTTTTTTAGTATATTTTTTTCTTTTTCATTAAATATATCAGTATTGTAATATAATGAAGTATCCATTTTTGAATTAACTTTTTTTTTTTTTTTTTTTTCATTTTCGATTTCATTTTCATTATGATTTTCTATATTTATTTCTTTTAATAAGTCCGTTTCTTCGTTTGAAATTTGACTATTTTTCAAAGAAATATTTTTTTTTTGTTTTTTTTCTTTTTGTTTATCAAATCTATATAATTTTAACGCTTCAATTAATGCTTCTGTTTTAATAGGATATATATATCCTACTATACATCTGGGGCATTTCATACTTCTTAAATGCAAATTGTTTTCAGTTGGGTCTGAACATCTACTACAACCACAACCAAAAACTCTTGGCATTCCTTTAAAATTTTTTCTTATTTTAAGAGGTAAATACTGATCTGATAAAATACTTATGCATAATTTCCCTCCTTCCGGTATATTATATAAAGATCTAATAGTTAGATTACCATTTTCATCATAATAAAAACTGCATGTAGGAACACAACTGTGATGTAATTTGGCTAATAATGGACAGTAAGCTAATCCAAATGTAGTTTCAGGATTTGCTTGTTGAATTATTGAAGATGGAGAATAATATTTAATAAAAGGAGAGTACTGCCACAAAATTAACATTAGTTCTACTAGTTCTTTTTGTTTTAAATGTAAATAAAAAGATGGATGAAATTCTAATATTATTCTATTTGCTAACGTATTAAATGATTCAAATACTTCTTTTTGACTTTCTTTAACTGAATCATAATAGGATTCTACACTAAATATATCATTTAATATACTGTGTTCTTTATCTTTATATTCTTTATCTATTTTTGCTTTTATTAATAAGCGAAAAATATGAAGAACAGTGTAATACATTAAATTTGATTCTTTAGCTGCTGCAGATATTATTGGTAAAATGCTACATTCTATTTTATGAATATTTATATTATTAATAAGACACTTCCAATTGCAAAAAATAAATGGGCACGAATGTGGATTAATAGGACAAGAATAACTTTTATGAGCAATATTTCTTTCCTTTAAACAGTGATAACAAGTAGAATATGTAAAATTTTCAGATAAAACATACTGTGTTAATATAAATGGTTTCGTTTGAAATATAACTTCTCCTGGTATTAAATTCTTTTTAGCTAAAGCTACATAATATTGTCCATGTTTGATAATTTGCAATTTCTTACTATATAAATATTCGTTTGTAAAATTATTATTGTTATTATATTTTTCTTCTTTATATAATCTACTTTCATCATAGCATATCCAACTTTTATATTTTATGGGTATTTTACATGCTTTTGAAATTATGTTTTCTTCACATTTTTTTAATAAGTTGATTAATATTCTATTTTCCTTATCAATATATAATGCTGCATATATTAAATTTAATGCTGATTTATAATTTTTTATCTTCAAATAAAATTTACTAAAACATTCATAACCTTCTATTGATTTTGGATATCTTTCAATATAATTAGTTATTAATTTTGATATTACTTCATTTCCATTTCTTTGGTATAATTTAGGTAACTCTTTTGTTAATTCTAATAATTCTTCTTTTTCTTTATAATTTATTTTTTTATTCTCTTCCAGATGAATAAATCTACTATTTTCTAAACCTTTATTTTCTATATCTTTAAATAATGCTATATCAAACATTTTATTTCAACAAATGGAGAAATTAGAAAATATGTATACTTATATATTCTTATCAAAAATAAAAAAAAATGTATCGTTTAAAAATGTTTTTTTTATTAAACTTATAACTATATCAAACTAGTTACAGTAGAAATTTTTTATTTTTTTAAAATTAATTATATATATATATAATATATTTTTTAGATTTTATTGTATTAATTCTATTCAAAAACAATTAATTATTGTGGTTTATGTTCTTATTTTTTTTTCCATAAAACAAGTAATAAAAGTATTAATAAAGATTATTTAAAAACATTATAATTTAAAATTTATTAATAAAATATTTAGATAATTATTAACTTTTTTTTTTTTTTTTTTTTTTTTTGATAATTATAAAAATCACTATAGCATTAATCAATTATTAAAAATTGTATATCTTTTATAATCCATTTTTTAGTTAAAAATAAAATGTCTGTATTATTTATATTCATAATGTTAAAATATATATTATTATACATTAGATGTATGATTATTATTGATATTATATATTTTTATTATTATTATTATTATCTCCATATATTTTTATTATTATTATCTCCATATACTTTTATTATTAATTCCATAGTTTATTTTTTAAGTTATTATTAATATATATTTTATTATTTTTTAATTTTTTTTAAATTTAAAAATTCTCTTATGCTTCATTTAATTATTTTAATTTTCTTTAATAAAAAAAAAAAAAAAAAAAATTCTTTGCAACTATTTAATAGAGAATTTTGCTAATGGACAGAAAAAAAAAAAAAAAAAATGTCTTAGATGTTTCACGCAAATTTTAAAATTCATTTTTTCCATTGTAAAAAAAAAGAAAAAAAGAAAAAATACAATTTAGACAATAATTAAAGCAAAAAAAATATTAAAAGTGATAATTCTGTATTTTTTTTTTTTTAATTATGTTTTTACATTATGAAAAAATTTAATTTAATCTATTTTAAAAATTTCTTAATCGTATGTGTATTTTCTTTTATGAAAAAATCTGCGATATTAAATATTTATTTTTTTATTTTTATAAAATAAAATTTTATTAGAAGCATGCATGATAATTGAAATACTTTTAAAATAAAATTTATTCCTTTGTTAAAATTATTGTTTTTTAATTAATACTTTTTTTTTTTTTTTTCTCATTGAAAAATATGTAAATGCACATGTATAAAAAAAAAAAAAAAAAAAAAAAAAAAAAATATATATATATATATATATATATATATTTAAAATATTATTTTCTACTGTTTTACATAAAAGAATATACAAGAAAAATACAACATGAATATATAGAAGATATTTTATTTGTATACTTAATTTTAAAATATAAATTATTTTGTAGATAAAAAAAAAATTTTTTTTTCCATTCAAAATTTATGTTTTACAATTATGTTTCAATATTATATAAATTAGATTTATAATAAAAATATTATTGGTAAAATTTCTTTAATATGTAATTCTAAAGTTTTAATTTTAATTTCACCTTATTTTTTTTTTGAAGCATAAGTAATGGTAATAAAATAACATTTTTTATATAATATATAAAATTTGGTTAAAAATTAGAAATTTTTAATATTAATATGTAAGTTTCAGAAAATACAAAAAGTGTACATTTGAAAATTTCAAAAAATTGATAAAAGATATATATATATATACATAGAAGCAAAAATTTATTTATTTTAAATTTAATCTCTATTTATTCATTTTTTTTTCTTATTTTTAACTTTGTTTACATTTTCTTTTTGATATGTTACTTTTGTTTTCATTTTTGTGAAAAAATATATCTTTTTGTTTTAATCATAAATAGAACATTTGTAACATATTCATAGAATAAAAGATGCTTTTCTAAACTTAATAACAATAAATATAGTATATTTAAAAGAAAATATATAATACTATAATTTTTTTTAAGTGTAAATATTAAATCATATTTATTGAAAAAACATGTAAGACAAATAATGTCAAAAAAAATTAGATTTATTTTAACAGTTAAGTCAGGTGATACCAATGAATATATATGCCCATATAAATTTGTTTGATAAATTAAAGATGGGAAGGATAAAGATGGAGAATATATTGATAATGGAAATTTTTGTTTTGATTATGATGTTCTTAATAAAAATGTGTGTGAATTAAAGTAACATATTAGAGATTTGTATAATATAATGAAAAAAGAAGATAATAATATTTATAGAGAAGAATTTTCATTACTATCAATAGTTTTAATAAATATATTATTTGAATGTTATTTTTACATGTATTAAAATGGTGATCTAGTTAAAAAAAGTATTAAAGAGTAAATATTATACAAAATCCCATTCGTAAAATAACTAGATGAAATTTTAACAGTAACATATGATAATCGAATACTGTTACTACATTTATTATAAATTATCATTAGAATAAATTATGTAAAATTTATCCAAGAGGTGATTATTATGTTGATTTGATATACCTATCAAATTATGTAGCTAAATCTGATAGTTGTTTTAATAGAGTTTATAAAATTAAAGACAATCAGTTCTGATAATGAAAAGGAAGAACCTATTAATAAGTGAATATAGGAAGTAAATAAATTTAAAGATGTTAACATTAATATACTTTTTAAAAAAAGACATTATTACATATGGAGATGAAAGATATAAATTTGCTGAAATATTTATAATAAACAAAAAGGTTTCCTTTACTTGTATATGTATATCAAATGTTAAATTAATTAATTTAATGATAAATGTTTACTTTAATTATATTTTAAAAAAGTCTGCAAATAATAATAGAATTCATATTAGTACTTTAATCCATCTAAAGTACTATTATAAAAGAAACTCATGTAAGTGAGAACTTATATTCTTTCAATTTATTTTTTTCTCTTTATTTTCTCTTTTTCGTATTTTCTTTCGATTTTTAATATGTTTAAGATATATTCCCATAAAAAAAAAAAATATTTATATATTTAAATGTTTTTAATTTTTTCTAAATTTATTTGTTTAATGCAAATATTTGTAAAATCTATATGATTTAAATATATAAAAAGTTTATAAATTTTGGATTACAATAAAAAAAAAAAAAAAAAAATGTGAGGTTTAATGATTTTCGATTTTTAAAATATTGTTTGATAAATATGTTAAATTAGACAAAAAGTTAGATATTTTAAGAACTTTCAAATTAAATTCATATTTTTTGGTATTATTTGGTTGTATAACATATAAAAATAAACTCAAAAACCTAATAATGTTAAAAAGAAAAAAAATATATATATATATATATCAGAAAATAAAGAAATAAAACAATCTATATATTTCTTTTTTTTTTTTTTTTTTGTAACTATTTCATTTATAAATATTACCTTACTTCTGTTTGTAAAATAAAAAACATGTTATTATCTATTATCTTCAATATTGTATATTTAGCTTTTAACAACATTGATAAACCAAACAATTCTAAAATAATATTTTTAATAGCAGCTTTTACATGATTTATAGCATTTAAATCTAATAAATTACAACTACAAAAAAAAAAAAAATAAATAAATAAATAAAATAAAAAATAAAACAAATAAATGAAATAAAATAAAGGCGATATGGTGTATTTCATGTATTTTCTTACATTTTTATTAAAATATATGCATTATCTGATTTTGAAACATATTCCATCATTTTTTTTTATAAACTTTTTTAACATATAATATGCATACTGAAAATGTAAGTTTTAAAGTTTTTGTTATTTTATAAACTTAATTTATTCACCCATCGAAAGATAAAATTTATAATTTCCTTTTATTTATTTTATTATTTGACGTAACTAAAAAATAATTTTTTTTTTTTTTTTTTATAGACTTTTGAACGATAAAAAAATTTGAATGTAACTTAAAAAAATTTTAATAAATTAAAATTAAAAGATCTATTTAAACTTCATTTAAAATTTTAACAATATATAAAAAAATAAAATGAAAATAAAATAAAAATAAAAGTAAAATAAAAATAAAATAAAATAATGAATATATAAAAAGTAAAAACTATAGATGAGATTCTTATAAAACTATTTAAAATTTATATATATGTATATTTTTCATTAATTTATCTATAGTTTTTTCTATTTAAAAAAAAAAAAAAATAAAATAAAATGTAAGAATAAATAAATAATCAAATATTTTATATATATAAAAATAGTGTCCTATAATTGTATTTTTTAAAAAAAAAAAAATACATAAATACAAAAAATGAGAAAAAAAAAAGGATAAAAAAATATAAATTAGTAATTATGAAAAAAAAAAAAAAAAAAAAATTTTCAAAACATTATTAAAACAATCTAACAAAAAAAAAAAAAATTATTCTGTATATTTTGAATTATATAAAAAAGTCCGCAAAAAAAAAAAAAAAAAAAAAAAAAAGAAAAAACGAAATTAGAGCAAAACTAAATTAAAATAACACTAATATGACTTTGAAGAAAATAAACAAAAGTAAAATAAAATATAATGAAAAGGAATGCAATATTATTAGCAAAATACATGAAAAAAATAGCATTCTTACAGGTTATATAAACTTATATATATATATATATATATATTTGTAATTTAAAATAATAAAAGTATTTTTTCGTATTAAAAAAAATATTTGATATAATTAGACATTTATTTGATAAAATATATATATGTAAATAATAAATGATTTTAATTTTTCAAGATATCTTTAATAAAAAAATATTTTATTCTATGAAGAAGATATTATACAATTATTCTAAATAATTTATTTTTTTTTTTTTTTTTTTTCTTTTTAAAAAAAATTCTATAGTAAAGCAATTAATAGCTTTTTTTAAAGAAAAAAAAAAAAAAAAAAAAAAAACAAAAAAAAATATATATGTATATATATTTTTAACTGATAAATTGTAGTTTTCTCTCTGAAATTTCTTTCATCTTTTGTGCTATGATTTTTTTAGTCCTATTAACTGTTTCAGCATTATATTTATCTAATTCGTCTACAGCATTACTTAAAATAATATCTTTTACTAAGTCTTCCCATTTAGATGAATCTGCAGGAACTTTACTTTTTTCTAAATCTAAAACAGCTTGAACTAAAACCCTTGTTAATCCCTTTTTGTCGATTAAATTATATGCATGAGCTTTAGTTGCCGCTCCTATATAAGTTCTAAAAAAAAAAATGGGGACTGATTTAATAAAATAATCACTTGGTAATAAAGTATTATCATCCTTTCCTTTTACATGATGTAAAAAAACAGCTTTAATTCTTTGAGGAAATGTTTTGATCATCATTTCTCCTGCTTGTTTATCCATATCTCCTGTATCACCAATCCATATATATCTAACAACCGAATTCTGTTGAATTACATATTTATGTAGTTGTTTGAAATTAAAAAATTTTTTTTCTCCTCTTGTTTCATTCCATACCCATTCTTTTAAAGTTGAATATAAAGTTTTATTTTCACAATCGATACCCCAATTTTTTATTCCTCTCCTTTCAGCTACTTCGTTAAATTTTTTATTTAAATATGAATCTTCTGTTATGGGTACTTGTGGAATTCTAGCTGTTAAAACGGATAATAAAAGTGGTTTAGATTCAGCTGATAATTTATTCATAGCCAATTCAAAGATAAATTGAAAAGATCCTGGATATGTTTCTCCTCTTTGATACTGTGCATCTACTCCACCTAAAGAATAATTAAATAATTTATATCCACCACTTGATCTTATTGTATCATCAATATCAATAATAACTTGAGTGGTTCCCCATTTTAATTTATCATTTTTACAATCAATTATTCTTCTTTTTAATTTGTTCACATTTGGAGTAGTATTACTCTCTTCTTTTTTTTTTTCTTCACTTTTTCCTTCTTCAGTTTCATTATTAATTTCTTTTTCTTCATTAATAGTATTATCATTTTTATCTATTTTTTTTTCTTCATTTTTCACTACGATCATCTCACTGTTTTTTTCCCTTTTTACTGTCACTTCATTTTGTCCTCTATTTGTATATTCTTCGTTTTTCATGTAATATATATTTTTACTTATTATTTCTTTTTTCAATTCAACTTTTCTTTCTTTCATTGATTCTTCTTCATTATTTATTTTTATTTCATTACTTTTCTCATCATAATTTAATATTCTATTTGTATCTTTTCCTTTTTCTTCTAAAACACATTCATTTATGCTCTTCATATTATTCTTACTCATACTTGTCTGCTTATTTATGCAAGATACATAATTTTTATCTTCATTTATACTATTTATCAAAGCATTATCAACATTACTATTATCATTATTATTTTCTTTAGTATTTCTTTTACTAATTATATAGTCTCTTATTTCATCCTTATAATCTAGAACTTCATTGTTTTCTAGATTTTTTTTAATTTCTGTTTTAGATATGTATGGAATCTTATGGTAAAATTTTTGATTATTATTATTAATTACATCAAGATTATCATAAAAATTTTCACTTTTATCATTAAATTCATATTCTCCCGAAATCTGTTTGTGATTTATATTTAATGTTTTTTTATACATTTGGTTAAAACCTTTTCTACTCATTTCATCTAAAATTTCAGAATTTACTTTATTTGATTTTTTTTTATTAATTTTATAAATACTTTCTTTTTTCTCTTCATATATTTCTTCGCTGGAATTGTCACTACAACTATCCTTATATACATCAAACGAATTTCTTTTTCTATTTTTTTTTTCAGACAAAAAATATTTTTTATTTTTAGAAAGCATTCTATTAAAACTTTTAAAGGTTTTTAAACATTTTCTTATGGGAAATTTTATGTTGTATAAATCACTACTACTATAAACTTTTTTTTTAAAAAACAGTTCTAAATTATTATAATTACCTAATGAAGATATATTTTTATATGTGTAATTATAAGTGTTATTTCTTTTAAGAGAATTATAAAGAATAGATCTCCTTAATTTATGTTTGTCTATATGATGCATTTTAGAAGATAATGTAATAAAATTATTCAAGGGAGTAATGGAATGTTCTTTCTCTTCGTTTGTACCATCATTTAAACCTTTTTTTTTATTAAATATATTTTCGTAGTCACTAATCAACTGTTTTTTAATTTTTTTTTTCTCAACTGACTCTTCTATCTTGTTAATAATTTTTTTCATATTACTCATATTTGCTTCATTATATACTTCTTTATCTGATAAACTATAGTCTCTTTTTATATTATTAAAACAAAATTCGTCGGAACCTAATTTTTTTTTTCTATTATCATAATAGTTATAATTGATAGAACCTTTTTTTTTTGAACAATATTTATTGCTATTATTTAATTCATTATAATTTTTATATATTTCATTTTTAGATGAAAATTCATTCTTATAATTTATTCCTTTATTTTTTATGTTAAGATCCTTTTTTAATTCTTTCTTATTATTATATAATTTTTTTTCTTCTTGTATTTCATTTCCTTCTATTTGATCTAAATTAGTTTCATTAAATTTATTTTCTCCATAACTTTTTTTTATCGATGTTTCTCTCTTTTCAAATGAGGAATTTTTTTCATGTTTAAAATTATTATATATATTTTTTTCTTTTATAATTTTGTTACGATTTTCTTTTTCTCTTTGATAATCAAAATAACGATATGGTTTTAATTTATTATGTAATATTTTCTTATTTCTATCACTTATTTCTGATAAGCATTCTATTAGAGAATTACTATTTTTACAGTAAGTGTTTTCTACTTTGGGGAAGATATTGAGGTATTCTTGTAATGATTTACTTTTATTAAGTACTTTTTTTTTTATGTCATAATTTTTATTAAAATAGACATGAGTTTTGTTATTAACACTCTTTTCTTTTACTTCTATATTATTTTCTTCTTCTTCCTTGATTTCATATCTTCTTATTTCTTCTTCATTATGAATTTTGTCTATATTATAATCTTTTTCTTTATTTTTCAAATTTTCATAATCATCATTATGATTACTATCTTTACTATTACTTCTATTTAATAAGTTACTATCATTTAGTTTATTTTTATTTATTATATTGTTATCACTCTGATTATTTTTATTTATTATATTATCATCATTTAAATTATTTACATTTATTATATTGTTATCACCCTGATTATTTTTATTTATTATATTGTTATCACTCTGATTATTTTTATTTATTATATTGTTATCACTCTGATTATTTTTATTTATTAAATTGTCATCATTTAAATTATTTATATTTATTATATTGTTATCACTCTGATTATTTTTATTTATTATATTATCATCATTTAAATTATTTATATTTATTATATTGTTATCACTCTTAATATTTTTATTTATTAAATTGTCATCATTTAAATTATTTACATTTATTATATTGTTATCACTCTGATTATTTTTATTTATTATATTATCATCATTTAAATTATTTACATTTATTATATTGTTATCACTCTGATTATTTTTATTTATTAAATTGTCATCATTTAAATTATTTACATTTATTAAATTGTCATCATTTAAATTATTTACATTTATTATATTATTATCGATTGAATTATCATTATTATTTATTATATGTTTATAGTTTGAGTTCATAACATTTGATAAATTTTTATCATACGAATTATTAATAAGATTTCTATTATTTTTATTTATTGCATTAACATAATTACTACACCATAAAGTTGGAGAATTTTCTCCTGTTAATAAATTTGAAAGTTTTTCTTCTGTACTTAATGTATTATATTTTTCACTATCAAATTCATTATCATCAAACCAATTTATTTCACTATTTTTTAAATCATCATTTATATTGTTTAAACTTTCAAATAATTTATTATCTACTATTTTATTTTCTTCTAATAGCGAATGTTTACTTACGGGACTTGGTGAATATTGACTTAAATCATTAAAATTTAATTTATCATCTTCTGAATTATCTTCAAATCCTTTTTGATGTATATTTTTTATTTCATCCATTTCAATACATTCAAAAACATTCTTATCCTTGTCTTTTTTTTTTATCATTGAATTAAATATATTAAATGTTACTATTCTATAAAATAAAGTTTTATTAACTGTTCATATATATATATATATGTAATTATATTTATTGGTAATTTACTTGTTTAAATTAATATTTTATTGTCTTATGTGTTAAATATAAATTATTTTAGAACTTACTTTTTTTTCTTATTTCTCAGCTAATTTGAATTAAAGAAAAAAAAAAATTCAAATCAGCATACATAAGTGAAGTTACCAAATATTAAAGATAAAAAAAAAAAAAAAAAAAAAAAAAAAAAAGAACAATATCCGTGGAATAATTAAGAAATTATTTATATAAAAAACAATTAAAAATAAAAAAAGCAATATTTAAATACATATTCAAATTTTAATTTTTATAAATAAAACATTCAAAAAAAAAAAAAAAAAAAGAGTATATCTTTTATATAAATTTTAAATATCTAATATTTCAAAATTTTAGAAAAAATAGGAAAGATATTAAAAAAAAATATTCTACTCTTTTTTTCTAGAAAAAAATTATTGATAACTAAATCAAATAATTCAATATTAAAAACAAGAATAAAATACTTTTCCTTTTATATAAAGGAATATATTTTCTTTTTTTTTTTTTGTTTATATTTTTTTAATTAAGCATAATTAATAATAAAATGGATTAAGAGGATTAATAAAACTAACACAATTTGTCATAACAGTGTTTTTATAATGATTTAAATTTATTCATAAACAAATTAAAAATATAAAAACACATAAATATGTTCAACTATATTAAACTGCTGTTTTTTTTTTTTTTTTTTTTTTTTTTTTTTTTTTTTTTTTTTTTTTTTTTTTTTTTTTAAATCTTATATATATATAAAATATAAATTGCCGCTATTAGTATCGTTATATGATGAAGTATTTTTTATGGTGCTAAAATTTTATTTATATTTCACAATGCACATTTTAAAATTTAAATTATTAAAAAAAAATTATTTTTGTTTTTGATTGTTTTATAAATTTATTGATTTAAAAAAAAAAAAATAAACATACGTAAAACTATGAGAAATCTTAAAAAAAAAATTATTAAATCTGTACTCAAATTTTAATAAAATTATTTTATTTAATTTCTTTATTTTTTAATTTCGTTTTGCTTCTCAATTTTATATTAATATACATAGAAAAATTACTTAAAAATTATAACAAAAAAGTGTATATATATGTAAATGTATATTAATTTTTTTTTTTTTTTTTATAAATAAAAGATAATAATAATAAAACTTAAATAGAATATTATATATTATTACAATTTGTTACAAAACAAACGAGAATTACAATTTTATCTAACCACAGAAAAGGTAATAAAAAAAAAAAAAAAAAAAAAAATTAAAAATTAAAGATTCTCTTTATTGTTGTCAGTGACAATGATATGTAAAAATCAAAATACAAATAAAAATTTTACAAGAATATATGTGTATAATAAGAAAAGAAAGATTTTATCATTCAAAAGAGTATTAAGAACAAAAAAAAAAAAAAAATAAGCACGTGTGAATTTTTTTTTTTTTTATGTTTTAATATAATTATATATATATATATATGTATATATAAACATATTTATAAATGAATTTAAAAATGAATATATTTATTTTTTTTTTATTTTCTTACTATATTATACAATAACATAAAAGAAGTGTGTGTGAACTAAAATAGTAAGTTCTAAGATTATTATCTCATATCATAACAATTTTACAATTTTCGAAGCTCGAAAAAAAAAAAAAAAATATTATCATAAAGAAAAATATATATTTGTTTAAATTATATGTTTTTATATAACAATATTAAATTTATGAAAAATTAAAACACACAATTTTTTTTCCTTATATAATTTATGAGAAATTTGTACGATAGTTGAAATTTATAAATATTATAATAAAAAAAAAAAAGAGAAGGAAGATTAAGGCATTAAAGATATGTGTGTATATATATATATATATTCATATGGAAAAATAGAAAAAAATATATTTATTAATATAAACAGAAGTGAACTTTTTGTTTGCATTAATCTATGTAAATCATTTTTTTCCTTTTTCAATACTTATAAATTTTACTATAAGATTATTCACTATTATACCTATATCCTTCTATTTTCTTATATTTCTCATTTTTTTTTTATATAATTTACAGTAATGTTAATATAAATATTTTTTCTGTATTCTTTGTATAATTTTTTTATAAAAAAAAAAATTGTAAGCTTTTATAATTTTTTTTTTTTTTTCTGGTAAAATAAAAAAATTATCCAACGAAAAAGTAATGCTTTTAAAAAATAAATATTATTTAACCTTTTTCTTTTTTAAAGGTGATGTATTATTTATTATGTCTGTTTTATTTTAAATTGTCATAGAACTCGAATTTTATTCGTTTAAAGTACAATTATATATATATATATATATATATATATAGCAATAAAATTTGTTTCCAATTAATGAATGAAAAAAAAATGTATTTATAAAATTACAAAAAAATAAAATTTAATGGATAAAAAAAAGAAATGAAAAAGTGAACAAAAATAACTTATAAAAAAAAAAAAATTAATAGTTATAAATTCAATTTATGCATTTTTCTTGAGCAAATATGTGAATTTTATATACTATGTATACATAATTCTTCCATTTAAAGTAGAACAGTTATTTTATTCCTTTAAACTTTAACTATTTTAAAAAAGTAATATCAACTAAGTTATAAAATAATTTTCATTCTTTACTTTTGAGTCTATTATTAAATTATATTATTATAAATCTCATTAAACTATTAAAGTAATAATATATGAATAAATAAAAAGAAAAATATCTTAATTTTGAAAATATTCATACTTAAAATATTTATAAAAATTTCTTGTTAAATTAGTTTTTATATTTTTTTTTTTTTTTGAAATTATTGAAACATTTATAACATGTTAATTATTTATGTATTTAAGCATATTATTTAGCATGTCTTTAAAAAGTTCTTCATTCAAATAATTAAATATATATATAAACTACTATATATATGAGAAAGTATATATAAGGTATAACATTAATGTAACCAAAAAAATGATAAAAAATATTTAGAAAATATTTATTCATATTTATGGATTATTCTTGTTATGCTATTTTTCGTACAAGGGAAAAGGAAAAAAAATTTTATTTTGTTAAAATAATTTTCAATAAAAATTTTTTATAATTCTCCACATGATTAATATTATTATCTTTTTTCATTTCTTTTTAATATAAAAATTAATACCCTTAAAACTACACTTCTGATCTAAAATGAAAAAAACTAATATAAAAGAAAAGGAAAAAAAATAAATTTTTTAAAAATTCTTAAATTAAATATTATTATTTCATGCAAAAAGTTTTGTTATAGTTTTATTAAAAAAAACTATAAAGCAGAAAAAAATTGAATTAATATTTTATATATATATATAATATGAAATTTTTTTTTTCTTTCTTTTTTTATGTTGATTTGATGTTATAAAGAATTAAAAAAAATTAAATAAATAATATAATATTACTTTTTTTAAAATATCTTAAAAAAAAATTAGAATTATAAATGTTATTCATTAAAAATTTCATTTATATATTTTAAATTTAAGCATTAAAATTATAGTCTGTTTTGAATGCATAAGCATATATATTAATATATTATATTTTCTCCTAATATTTTTTAAGTAAATAATTTTACACAGTAGAACTGAAGTACATATGGATTAAATTAGAACTTTAAGATTTTTATTTTTAAATTGAAGAAAAAAGAAAAAGGAAAAAAAATTTAATTAAATATACAATGACTGAAATAATTGTGAGATTAAAATGTGAAATTGGATTGTATCGCTTAGAAATAGATAAAAATAAAAAATTAATTGATTTAAAAAAGAAAATAGAAGAAATTTTAAATGTACCATCTGAAAAACAGCAATTATATTTAGATGAAAAACCAAATGTACTTTTAAATAATGATTTTTCTATTTTATCTGAATGTAGTATACATAATGGAAGTATGATCTTGTTAAAAAGTGAAATAAAGCCAAATAAAAAAAGTAATAATAATAAAGATGGAGCAAATATATCAAATAAAGAAAAAGATAATTCTGATTATAATGAAATAAGAAAAAAAGAAGCACAAAAAGAAGTAGTTAGTAAAGGAAAAGATAAAGATGATAAATCAGATAATAAAAATGAATCAAAATCTAATTTTAAATCATTTGATTATTTTTTAAAATTAAGAGGATATAATACAACAGACTTACCATTAAATTTAACTTATAAATCAATTTATTTAACAAAAGGAAAATTTATAAAAATTCCTTTAAGTATAACATTAAAACATCAGGAGTATAGACACGTTGATCATTTAGAATTAATGAATGTGGAGGAAATTAAAGATTTTGTCCACTATTGGTGTTATAATAATAATATGATTGAACAAAGAGCTGGATGGATGTATGGGTATTATAAAGAAGATTCTCATTATAATTTAGGGATAAGAGCAGTATGTGAATGTATATATGAACCTCCACAAATCAATGAAAACAATCAAGTTAAGTTTTTACCTGATGAATTTTTAGAATCTGTTGATTTAATTGCAGAAAGATTAGGTTTAGAAAGAATTGGATGGATTTTTACTCATTTACCTAGAAAAGAGTATTTAACATCAGATGAAGTCGTACATATAGCTAAGTTGCAATTAGCTAATATGAAAAAAAACATGCATTATACTAATTATAGTGTATCTAATTTTATTACTTGTACTATATCTCCTGATCCTTTATTGAGTAATGAACCTGTAACAAATGCATTTATGGTTTCCGATTTAGGAATGGCATTAATAAGAGATAATTTTATTGAAGAAAATCAAATGGATCCATCTCATATACATCTTAGAAATCCTAATAAAAATGAATTATTACCACAAATTCTAGAAAGTGGTAAAGAAACAAATAAATTCGATACGGATTGGTTTATTGTTCGTGTAAATGAATCTGCACCTAAAGTAGTCCGATCTATTTTTAGAAATTTTCATTTTCCAAGGGAGAATAGAGTTAATTTACAGACAGCTAATGATATAAAAGAATATTTTACTAGTAAGAAATTAGATAGAGGAAATAATGGTAATTTTAAATGTTCTGACTTTCATTTAATTTTGTTTGTTTCAAAAGTATTAGATATAGAAACAGCACTTGCATTATGTGATGCAACTTTAGGTAAAAAAGAAATTGACCCAATAATGGAAGAGGTTCTTACTTCTATCAAAATTTGAAATAAATGAATTACATTGAATTAAAAAAAAAAATAACCTACATTAATACTACATATATATATATATATATTTTTTTTATTATGCATTGTATTTACTTTGTTAGAATCATATATCTAGAAATATGCATATATATAGTAATCATAAATAAATTTTTATAATTTGTTTTATCCTTATAATTTAAATACTCTTAATTTTTTCTTTTAAATTTTAAGATATTTGAATAATTATTAAATTCTCTCTTTCTCTCTCTCTCTCTCTATATATATATATTTATAAATGATTTTTTTTTTCTTTAAAATTAATAGACTATTAAAAAAAAAAAAAATAAATAAAAAGAAATTATATATGGGTCTACAACACTTTATTGTTGAAAGTTAAAAAATATTAGCAATTTTATTTTTTTTTTTTTTTGCATCCATATTAAATACCTTTATTAGGAAATGAATAGAAAAGAAATAAATGTATATATATATATAATTACGCCATTTAATTTTTTCTTCTTAATTTAAATGAATTTTCTACAAAATATCCTAAATTTGGATTTTATTTTATTTATTATTATTAATTCATTTATATATTTAATACAATTTTTTAAAATAAAATCAATATAACAAATGTCTGTATATATTGTTTCTAAAGTTCAGAATTTTTACTTCAAAAATATATAATAAACAGAACATTCTAAAAAATAAAAAAAATTTTACTTCAAAAAGAATTAATAAACAACACATTTTATAATAAATAGTACAAATTATATTTATTTTAATATATATAAATACAAAAAAAGAAAAAAAAAAAAAAAAAAAATGAATCAAATGTATGGTAATTTAATTTATATAAAAAAAAGAATACATTTTTATTAATAAATGAAAATATAAGAATTAAAATTAATAATAGAAATATAAAATAAAAAAAAAAAAAAAATTAAAAGGACATTAAATATAATTTTAATGTTCTTTATTTACTCATTCTAAAAATACTATAAAAAAGGAGAGAAATAAGGGGAAAAAAAAAAAAAAATTATAATGTAACAATATTAAACGAAAAAAATTAGAAAAAAATAAATACATAAATATATACATACATATATATATATACATACATATATATATATATATATATATATATATATATATATATATATATATATATATATATATATATATATATATATAACAACAAAACGAATAAATTTCCCATAAAAGTTAAAAATAATAAATAAAAATATTTCTCTTTTATATGTATATAAATATACATATAAAAAATTTTATTGGTTATTATTATCATGAATATTCATTAAATTATTATTTATATTAAGATTATTTGAAATATTTGATACATGTTTATTATTATTATTATTATTAACTTTGTTATTAGCATTATTATTATTAGAATTCGTATTATTATTGTTATTTATTTTGTCTTTAAAAGAATTATTGTTATTATTATTATTGTTATCATTCATATTTATATTCATATTTAAATTGTTATAATTACTTTGTGGTAAATTATTGTTGATGATATTTATATTCATATTATTTGGAATAGAAATATTCTCTTCTTCACTGTTAATATTATAAAGCAATTGTAACAACCACTTTTTTGTATAAGGATCTTCTTTTAAACAAGGAATAAAAGCTTTATTAACATGTTTTAATGGTTCTGGTAAACAATATTTTAGAGCTTCTAATGCACGAGGATTTTCTGATAATCTTAAATAACATCGAACAATATGTTTAAGTAATCTTGATGAGGGATTTTCTACTAATGAATTTACCATGTTAGATAAAACAGTAGATACAGCATAAAATCGTTCGGGGGTAGCACAAATATAATTTAACCCTAATTCATCGATGAGGATTTTTTGAACAATAAAAGTGGCAACAGTTTTTGATAATTCACTTCCAGTTTCCATTATTCGTAAACATAAAGGAATAATTTCTGTTTGTAATAAAAAATTTATAACATCTGGGTTGTCTACTTTAACTAATGCACCTATAACACCTAATGATGTTAAACGCAAATATTCAAATGGCCTATTTTTTGATTCTGCATTAAGAAAAGGATATAAAAACAAAGGAATATGGGCATTTAAGAAATGCTGTTTTGTTTCTGGATGGGATGCTACACATTGTAATAAAGCTAAAGAATTACACACTCTATTTGATGAAGATGTAGTTAGTAGTGGAGGGGATAATTGTGGATAAATGGAAACAATTTCTTGTAACAATGTTGTTATGGTACCAAAAGAATTCCATAAAACAGGGGCAATATCTTGATATGTTTCTCTCTTCCTTGATAGTTCAAGTAAAGCATTTTCTCTCTTTTCAGAGAAACATAAATCAAATACTAACTGGTACACTTTTTTTTTCTCATCATCTTCATTTGAACCAATACGAACACTAGATAAATTATTGGAATGATTATTATTTGGAATGCTACTGTGATCATTTGTAATATTATTATTGTTGTTAATATTAACATTATTCAGATTCATATTGTTAATATTTTTCATACTATTCATATTTATATTATTCATATTTATATTACTCATATTTATATTACTCATATTCATATTACTCATATTCATATTATTTATATTAATATTATTTACATTCATATTATTCAAGTTACTCATATTATGATTTAAATTATTCTGCACAATATTGTGATTCATGTTAGTATGACCTACCACACCGTGATTCATACTATTTTGGGTGAAAGTATTTTGACTAATATTATTCTGATTAAAATTATTTTGACTTAAATTATTTTGATTCATACCATTTGCATTTAAACTGTTTTGATTTGTATTATGATGATGATATAAACTATTTCTATTATTCACAGTATTCATTTTGTGCCCATTAATTAATCCATTGCTATTCATCATATTTCAAATGTTCAATTTTATAAAACAACAAAAAAAAAAAAAAAAAAAGAAAAAAAAAAAATTATAAAAGAATGGAAGAAAGAATATGTATATATTAGTACTTTTCTAACAGTTTATCTTAAATAACTATATTATCTTTTATTAATTTAATTTTATACATAAAAAAGTTATTTTGTATCTTCATCAAAAAAAAAAAAAAAAAAAAAAAAAAAAAATTGTTTTTCTTTATATATATATATATATATTTTTTAATAGTATTAACTTTAATTTTATTACTTTTTTTCCTTTTTTTTTTTTTTGTTGTTTCTTTTTTTTTATATATATATTTTAAATTCAATTTTTCTTTGATTGCATTTCTCCTTTCATATGTATCTTTTGTTGCTTTTTTTTTTTTTTTTTTTTTTAATTATTATATAGGGTATATAATTTTTTAATTTTTATGCCAATTTTTTTTTAAAAATTTTATTTTTGGGTTTTTTTAAAAAGGGAAAATTTTTTTTTAAAAAATAAAATTTTTTTTTTTTAAAATTTAATTTTTAAAACAATTTCCCAATTTTTTTTTTTTTTTTCCTTAAAATTGTAAAAACAAAAAAAAAAAAAAAAAAAAAAAAAAAAAAAAAAAAAAAAAAATATTGCTTCTATTTTTTTTTTAATTTTATTCTCATATCTTTTCTTTTTTTAAATTTAATTTTATCTTATTTTATTTTCTTCTATATTTTTATTCTTTATACAAAATATTTCAAATTTCTATTTTAAACCTTGTTTTAGTTAAATTCATTCGCTTATGTTCCTTAAAAATAAATGAAAAATTACTTACATGTATAAATAATAATAAATAAAAAGATTAATATAAACTTATAAGAAAATTAAAAACTTATTTTTATGCTTTATCGCATATTTAATAATTTGATTTAATCGATTTAATAATAACGGTGTCTTGAATTATTTTAAAATTATTTATGTATATAATCAGTATTATTTGAAATATATACACTTAGCCTTTTTTTTTTTTTTTTTTTTTTTTTTTT